ACCATCTAATGCTGCAAATAAGAATTACTAACAAGATGCATTTTGATGCATTTTATATCACAATCTAACTGGAATGTTTTCTCACTGTCCGACAAATAAAAGCAAAGCTGGAAAAATGAATGGGTCAGTGGTAAGTATAAACCTTCCCCAGCTGAGCGTGGGAAAAACACCCTCCCTGCACAACGTAAACTTAAATTTCCTATGTGGTGCCTTCACAGTCACAAAGGGAAGCTACCACGTACAAAGGAATTGCAGATACAGTGCTGCACTGGGTCTACAGAGATGAGGTTCCACTCAAGCAGCACCACACTGAAATGAGTAAGAGCATAATCACTTTCACTGGCTAATCAAGATTCTGCAGGCAACAAGGCATATATTGAAACCCATTCTCATTGGTGCCATGTTCAAAGCCCCACCTACTCTCACTGTTGGAAAGGTAATTAATGTCTGTTGTTGGCTGATGCAAAGGGGAAATGGAAAGTGTCCCTGCTACCCAATCTCTCCCACAAACGCTCTCTTTTCAATGGTAACCTTCCCCTACAACCCTGTTTATTTTCACTGCCTATGATACGGTGCTTTGTTTTTTACTCATAATTCAGCCCAACACAACAAAATTATGGAAGTCCAGGACAGAACTACCATTGCTTCATGTTATTTCTGCACCTTACGCAAATAAGTTTTGCTATGAAAAGCTTCCCCAATAGCTGAGCAAAGCAAACATGGAAAGGAAGTTCCAATTTATTGTATGTTGGCCACAAACAAGCTTCTCTTTATCTGACAAGGAAACTAAACTAAACCATTACGCTGGTAGAGCATGGGTTAAAACTAGGGATGCACTGATACCGATGGCCAATTTTTAACAAGCCATATCAGCCGATACCGATCCGATTGCCAATATGCAGCCTGGCAGCTTGGAAAGCAGCATCCAGCTGGTAAGTCTGTTGGAGGGGAAGGGGTGGGAGGAAGGAAGGGGCTTGGGCAGGGGCAGGCACTGCACAGCCAGGGTGGGGCACAGGACAAAGCCGTGAGTAGCTCATTTGGGGGACATGGGGGTCACAGGTGGCAACTCCCACTGCTAAGGCACCCTGGGAGGGCATGGGAGGCACATGCCACTGGATCTGCGCACGGGGTGAGGGTAGGCTGCCGCTGTAGGCTGGGGCCGGGGCAGTGCTGGGCTCTTCCCAGCATGGGGGTTGGGCCAGGCTGCACTTGGGGCAGGCAGCAGTGGTGCTCCTTTCATAATTCTCAGCTACCAATTCTAATACTGAGGCTGATGGGTACCATTGCTGGCAGTCAGAGTTCAGGGATTGACTATGAACTACAAACTACTCTTAGAAACAGTCCTCCCTTATAGGCATATTGGTGGGAAAATGTGCACTCTCTTTGAATCCAGTCTGTGGATAAGCATAAAACTTCAGTTCCCAAGGCTCCAAATTTGGCACTTTCCATAAACAGAAGGCAGACAGTTTCTAAAGTTGTTCAACCAGCACCTAGTAGCCCCTCTCTAGTATAAGTAGTGCAAGTGAGTAAGAGGAAAAAGATATTCTTCCATCTGTTAGCCTAAGTGACAAATATCATAGCATACTTTACCTGGGACAGCTAACTGTTCCTCAAGCTCAACATGTCAGAGGCAGGGAATAAAGGTTTCAGTGAAGTTATGGAAATTATAACTAAAACACAGCCTCTTAAAACCACTTCAAATCAGTGAGATAAAACCTTAAAGAGACCATTAGCTTGCCTTAAAGTTTCTTGGTTTGCGAAACAGCAAAAATCTCTTAAAGCAGCCCTTTTCCCCATCGTACTAAAAAGCTTAAATTTTGAATTATATTTCTGCAATAGACCCCCTCTAACGAAAAAAATGTCTCTGTAAAACTACAATAATAACTATTATAATTTAATTTGTCACTTTTTCCAAAAGCTTGTAACAAGAGCTACTGAAATGGACAACCTTTTCCTATAGGAAAATCTGGCCCAAATTGCAGTATCTATTTAAAACTCAGCAAATGTAGTTCAAGCAGTTTCAGTGTTGCAGGGCCTGAAAATTCCTGAGGTTAGCTTAAGGGGGGTTGGTTATAGCTGTGTTGGTCTAAGGACACAGGCAGACAAGGTTATTTGGGTAAATCTGATATTGTTTATTAGACGAACTAAAATAATTGGAAAAATTCTTCTTTGCAAGCTTTCAGGTACAAACACCCTTCTTCAGGCAAAGGGAGTGACTGAGGTTAGCTTGATATATTGAATAAAAACCTTCCATGTAAGGAATGAGGAATAGCTACCAATAGAAAGTACAGAGAAACAGTCAAATAAATGGCAACTATTTCTCAAGAGTTTGATCCATCACCAAAACACAGAATTCTCTTAGGAAAGCTGTTTCTTATTACATATTTGAAATAAGACTGAGTCAAATGTTAGGAGTAATGAAAACAAATGTACACATGGTTGTTCTCTTTTCGAATTACCTAATAATACTGGTCTTTGACTAGGGGGATAAAGGACTATGAAACTCCAGGATGTTACACCAAACCCCTTTCATCTTCAATTCATAAGCTAAAACTGTCAAATTTTGGAGACCTAATATAATCTAATGAATCTGTGGGCTCTCAATAAGCATACTGCACAATATCCGTTTACACACTGGATTTCTGAGAAAGTCTGGCCCTGGATAGATTTAACATTTGTAGTGCTGCAAATGTTGCTACATATTGAATGCTATAAAAATATACATCTGTACGCCCATGCAGTGGTAACACTCCACAGCTGGAGTGTTTCAAAATCACTGCAATCAATGGCATGCTCTCCAGCCAGGGGTGGATATGGGACTGCAACTCCACTCTCCTCCCCGACCCGGGTACAGGGGTCTCTCTGTGAGCACGGTGAAGTCCCATGTCTCCTGGAGACTGTGGTTTCCCTCCTGCTTACACACACAGGGGAGGCAGGATGTCAATTAGTATGCTGCAATCCCAGGTCACTCAGGGAGTGCAGCTCCCTTCTCCCCCTGCCCCAAGGCAGAACGAGGAGACTGGAGGCAGGGAAGCTCACAGGGACTCCTGCTCTCCAGCCCCAACGACAGCCGAGCATACACAAGAAAACTCACTGACTGTCCACCTTGATCTCTCCCCCCTCATAGGTGGTGGAGGTGGAAACATGGGGGATGCTGTGGGATTAAGAGATCCCTATTGTGCTACAGTTCACCATCCACACAACCTGTAGCAGTTCAAAAGTGCTACAGAGAAGTTCTCATTTCACCCAGGAACATTTTCGTGACACTTAGGTCATTTCTGTAGCTCTACAGAAGGCCTGAGCATCTGTCACCTAGACTTTTGTAGTGCTACAAAGTTAGATCTTGCCAGCGTCTCTGTCAAACCTAAGAGCAAGGCAGACAGCTTCAACAAATAATCTAACACATGCATCAAGTAAAGAGAATGGGTCTGATTATTCAAGCACAGGTCAAGCATCATAGGGGCAGCTTCCTAAATCATCTGAGTAACCGAGGAGGAAAAAAAGTCAGAAGATGAAGAAAGACTTCAAGCCCTGGTCCTGTAACAAAAGCCATTGAGTGTTACGGTAATTGGGCCCAGATAAACAAAAGGGAATTTTGGAGCTTTCTTCTATTTCTTCAGGTCATCTAGGAAAGAACCCTCTGGCTTGAGCTATGAAATTAAAAGCCAGTGCGTGCTTATGACATTTCCTGGCTATCAGCTTAGGCAAAATCTGAGATACCTTATCAAAGAAAGAACTGTCCTCTACTATAAGACCACCAGTTATACAATCAAATTAGCATCTCAGCAATCAAAATCAGTTACTTTTACACTCTATATAAAGACAGGCTTTGAGTGGTCCAACTGTTTGTTTCAAACCTGTAATTCTCATATATATGAAAAGCCATAGATAAAAATACCGAGTTCAAAATAAGAAGGGTACAGTGTAGTATATCATAGGTTGAGCTGTTCATAATACAGCATAGCATGATTATACTCCTGGTGACAGATGTCTGGTTTAGGCATTTTCTACTTTGGTATTCCTAGTACTCATGGAAGCATAAATTATTTTTAAAGTATTGTCCTACATATTCATGTCTAAATATCAGAACAGAAAATAAATCCCAAATCTTCACACACAAAATATGCACATTTTGTTTTATACATAATGTGTATGTTTGTCAAATATTACATAAATGCAATTCTAAAGGAGTCCCAATCTACCCACTGGATAGAATAAGTCAAGGTATAGCTTTAAAACAATGAATCCAATCTTTCAAAATAGCTTAACTAATTTCTTTGCAAATTGGTAAAGAAAAAGTTAATTAATTTCTCTGAAGCTTTGCTTCCCAAGTAAGGTCCCATGGTGATTTTTCAAAGCAGATTTATAAACTTCTGTTTAAATTCTGCTTTACAGAAAGTTTTTGGTATTTTAGTCACATCAGGCACCTATATACAAGCAGCGAGCTGTAATTACAGCACGTTGGAGCAGACTCAATTAATCGAGTCTGCTGCAGCATGGTCATTACTGCACTCCAGCAGACTCCAATGTATTGTGCAACAATGTCCCCGCACTTAAAAATGGCAGCAAGGGTGCTTTAACTAAAGCTTGTTCAGTGATCTTTAGTTAAAGCACCCCTGCTGCCATTTTTAAGCACAGGGGAGCTGATACACGAGACACTCTGGGCATTTTAATTACAGCAGCTCTCAGGGCAGCTCTAATTAAAGTGCCCTGCCCCCATTCCTGGAGCATGTGTATAAACATCCATCATTCATAATGCCACAGCACCACATCTCCAGAACTGAACTTGTAATTACAGAAAAACAAACCTTACCCATTCAAATTTGCAGAATGTCTGGTTTACACACACTGAGTTTAAAAGCTGTTTCACACACACACACACACACACACACAACTGTAAAAGATTTCACAGAAAAATCCCCAAACAGACTTATTTTCTTTCAATCACACTTAGCTGAGAAAAGTTGTTGATGTTAAACCACGTGCTGAAAGTTACTTACCTTTTATTAGTTGCTCATAGAATTGAGGTTCAATAGAACCAACTGCCATGAATTTTCCATCGGAGGTCTTGTAGGTTTCATAAAAAGGTGCCCCACTGTCCAGCAGGTTCTCCCCCCGCGGTCTGTTCCAAATACCTAAGATTCCTGACTTCCACAGGAAAGAACTTAGATATGCAGTTCCTTCAACCTTAAAGATGCAAAAACCACTTTATAGTAACTAGAGAAATAGGTGGCATGCTCTATAGTTAAATTACACTTGAAGTAAGTATTCAAAGCTGCAGGCAAATCTGTTCTTCTTTAGGATTTCCAGTTGTAAAATTCTTGCTGAGTAATTTGAGAGAATTATTACTGTAAAGAGCAACTTTACGTTTCAAGATGTGTGTGAGATATTTTCTAAGATTATAGAGAGTAACATGGAACCCAGCAGGGTTGGCAACCCAAGATTTATTTTTTTTTTTCTGAGAGTCTGCAAGCTTTTTACTGACAGCCCAACTTTCATAACAACACATTTTTTTACTAAAATATGTTTTATATAATATAAACGTAACTCTTCTGCCAGGCCCTGCCCTGCTGTCAGATCTCAGTTAGAAGGACTGGCTTCAAATTTAGGGATTTAACATCAACTATAGAGTTTGGTTGCCAGTAAAAGTTTGCAATAAAAAAAACCCAGAATCTCAAGTTAGCAACCCTGCTGGACTGCAATGATGGTTTTACACTGTGCTGGGGCCCCCACAGCTGTACCGAGGGCCTCCCACTCACCCCCACACCCTGATGCTCCTGACTATACCCTGCACCATGCTGCCTCCCCCTGTATACCCACAGCATTACCCTTGCCAGCCCTGCTCACCCCAACCTGACACAGAGCTCCAAAAAAGCCTAACTGCAGCCCAGGACTAGTAAAGGCAGCCTGGGATGCAGCAGCAGCAACAAATGGCTGAGAGAACATTCCCTACAGGATGCTGTGGTCCTACTGAGACATCAGCTGGCAATATTGTGCTCTGTTTGTTGGAGCTTCAATCAAGGTGCAGTGAGGTTAACTTATTACTTTTACTGACAAATAAAGTTTTTTGTTTGTTTGTTGGTTTACAGACTACTGACAACCATGCGTAGTTCGATTTTTTACTGAGAGTCAGTAAATTTACTGATAGTTGGCAAACCTGGAACCCAGAGAGATCTGATTTGCACAAGACAAATTCAGTTACTTATTTCCATAAGCTCCTAGAAATTCATAGTTAATATAAAGATTTATAAAATGATAAGACAAGCTCCTTAGCTCCCCAAAATAACATCAGTGTAAATGTTACTACTGATCTCCTTCAAGTTTCTACTTTTAGAAACCAGGAGCATTTATAGATGACACTTTTAAGCATGTTTAAAACAGGTTAAATGCCTTATGCACCTCTTTAATGGCATTGCTGTTTGCACATTGTAACAGGGGGCCTGCTTGGGGCCGATCTCACTGTGGCCCGCCCACCTGTTCCTGGGCCAAACGCCCGCGTTCTCGCCCGCCACACCTTGTTATTATAATTAATTAATAGATGTGAATTAAGCGGGAGGCTGCCCATTTCATGCCCTGATGCCAAGGGGCGCTATCTGCAGCTCCATTCCTCCCCTACACCGCAGCCCAAGTCTGGCAGATGGCATCTAGATGTTCTCATCATCATCACCAGCTCCCGCACCGGGCCCCAGAATCCTCCCGATTGAACCCCACCTGGAATCCTCTCATCGGGCAGTCTCATCCGCCTTCATATTAGGCAGCATAGCTCCCTGAACCCGGGTGTGGTCCCCCCACCAGGACCTTTGGCTCACAAGCCCTGGCCCACCTCCGGGCCAGTCGGAGCACCAGGCCCTCAGCTCTTGGGGGTTCCTCGCGGTGGGCCCCGGCCCTTCCGGTCCTGGCCCCAGCATGGACCAGTCAGGGGAAGTCTGGACAGGACTGAGTCTGTGGCCCTTTTCTCCCTCTCCGAGGGTCCACCTTCCAGGCCCTCCAAACTAGGAGTAACCCACCCGGTCATGGGGGCTAGGGGTTAAGGCACCCTGACCCACCTTTCACCAGGGTGGTAACTGGCCTGGCATTTCCTGGGGGCTCCCGCGCCACCGAGATCCCCACCAGGCCATCCACTCCCGGCAGGGAGCAGTTTTAGGTCATGCCCAGGACCAGGAGCCTCCTAGCCATCCCCTACAGCTCCTCCCTTACCTCCAGATGACACCAGCAGCCCTCCGGCCAGGCGATGTTGTTGCCTGGGCCCCGGCAGCAGAACTGCCCTGTATATAGGGGCAGCCCCAGATCCAAAATGGCTGCCCTCATCAGCCATCTGGCAGCTGCCAGCTCTAGACCCTTAAGATGGCAGCACCCACAGTGCCCTGCCACACACATTCAGCGGCATATTGCGCATTAATTCCAGCCACTGTAGCACATTCAGTGGCGTAAGTTGCCTTAAATGACTTTGGGGTGCTGCGAAGTAAAGCACCTCCGAGGAGTTTTAGTTTTCTACCCTACAGCCAGGGAGGGAAGCGCCAGGCTCTGCGCAGCTCAGAAGCTGTGCAGGCAGCTGGGCAGTAGCCTGGGAAGGCAGGATCCACAGAAGGAAGAAAAAAAGTGGCAAGTCTGATCTCTCCCCGCCTGCAGCCTGCCTGCCTGCCTGAGCTGCATAGGGGCTCAGCGCTTCCCTCTAGGGCTGTGGTAGCCCCTGGGACTGCCCGAGCCATGTCCTACTGGC